CGCCACCTGAGGCACCCAGCCGCATCGGTGGATTTGCTGAGCGCGCCGGCGCCGGGGCTGGCTGAGAGTTCCATCAAGATACAAAGCATGCGGAAGCGCTGATGAAGTGCAGCCACTTAGCGGGGAGGACACACGCGTGGCCCACAACGAAAATGGCCGAGCACGGGCTTGAGGACACGCGGCACGGGGGCGAGCTCGACCCAGATTTCAGAGCGCGGGGGGGGGGGGGGGAGGAGGAGGATAGGAGGAGGAGGAGGAGGAGGAGGAGGAGGAGGAGGAAATGGCGCAACTCAGGAAGCACGGGGCCCACGCAAAGTCGAAGAAAGAAGAGTGCTGGGCCGTTGCCAGCGCGGCGCCAATCGACGCGAGGTGGATTGACGTCAACAACGGTGTCGAGGCCAATCCCGAGCGCCGATCCCGGCTGGCGGCGCAGCAAGCCCAGCGCGGCTCCAAGAGAAAGAGCTCGTTTGCAGTTCTCCATGGCCATTACCGAAGGAAGAGGGCGCGGCCGCGGGGGGCGCCGGGGGGGAGTCGGGGGCGCGAGGGGGGGGGGGGGGGGGGGGGGGGTGGGAGGCCTCGCGCTTGAGATGATCGACGTCAGGAGTGTATCTCTTCACGCCAACGAGCAGAGGATCTCCATCGGACTGCCCGGGGCAGATCGCGGACCAGGCGCGCGCGGAATGCAGGCACAGCTAGTGCACGGCGCGTGGAGCGCTGCCAGGAACGAGGGAGATTCTGCGAGGACTTCGCACGCGGCCTCTGTTTCGACGTCGGAACGGCATCGCCGCGCGGGTTTCAAGGCAAAGCCGGGCGAATCATCTGGCTGACCGCGCGCGGGGGCGGCGCGTCGGGGGCGGCGCCATTTCGCCGGGCGCCGCTGTTGCGTTTGACGCGCTCGAATAAATTCAGTGCAAGTCGAAGTTGAACGCGGCGGCGGCCCTTGACAAGGCCCAGAAAATTCGATGCCAATCGGGGCTCTCAACCGCGTTGCGACGCGGGGCTGGGGCGGGCCCTGGCGCGAGTCAGGTCGGAGACGCGCAAATATAGATGCAGAGGAACTTGGCCCGGAGAAGCACGGGGCGAGACGCGAGGCGCCAGGGGGGAATCGGACGCGCGAGGAGGAAGATGAGGAACCGCTCCCAAACCATGAAGTTGAGCAATCCCAGCGCGCATCGGCCCGCGCCCGTTCTTTCGCGCGGGATCGCTCGCGCATGCGCTCGGCAGTCAAGGGGCTCGCGCGCTCCTGTGCCAGCTCCAGCCCGAGGCGCGTGGCAGGGCCTGACATCGCTGGGCAAGTACCTCCATGGCCACGACAGGCGTGGCCATCAGCGTTTGCATCAAGAGCCCCCCCAGGAGTTAACCGCGCGGACTGGCGCCAAGTATGCCTGATGTAAGAAAACAAGTATTGCAGCAACGGGGGGGGCCGTTTTGTTGGACTCATACGTTGGAACGTCGTGGAGTTCGTCCCCAGAGCGTCGTGCCATTATCTTCTGGAGAAGCAGAGCATTGCGGAATGGCCACGGGTGGATCAGGCGCGTTAGGATCGCAAGAACGCATCAGAAGGATTTCGACGTTACTTGTGGCACCGCGTCGAGGAGCGACGCTAGAGCGGCCGCTGCCATTGCGGCCCAGGCAAGGGCCAGGGACAGCCAGACACATGGAGGATTGCCGGTTTTGGTTACAACAGAAGGTGCGACGAGGAGACGTTCATGCGATCAGAATAGAGACGCATGAGAACCTTGCAGGCGCCTTACTTATGCATGTAGGCAGCGGCGACGACATATCCGTGCACGCGCGAGGCGCCAACCATCATATGGTAGCGGACGGCGCGAGCTGGTACCTGTTACGGGTCTAATGTTTTGTATGTATATGTATGATGTATAGTATATATATATAATATATATATATATATATATATATATAAAGTATATTCGATAGGGTGTCGTGTGTGTGTGGACGCGTTACTGTCGCGTGCTGCTGTTCTGGGGCCGACTTCAGGATCCGTTGAGACACAGGCGCTCGCCTACGCGCGCGCGCACATGTTGCAACACATGTAAAATTACCACGTTGCATTACTTCGTTCCTGGCGACATTGAGAACAGTGTATCGCGTGTTAGGAGGCCCCTGTAGGCTAACGCCGAACTCATAGTCGCTTTCCGTTTGCACCATTCACTCCGCTATACAGCCTGCTGAGTTGGGATGGAGTCCTGGCTGCGATGCCTTACTAGTACTCTTCTGTCATGCAGTCGCTTTGCTGTTCGCGTCTCGCCCGTCTCCAG